CTGAAGCGGAGGGAGATGTGCCTGCCATCTCCACCCTGGCGCTGGTAGACGATAGCGTGCCCGTCACCAGCAGGGTTTTCCCGGTTGTATATAGCCCGGACTCTGTCTGTTCTTTGCCGTGCTCTTGATGATGTGGACTCTGACGCGGACCTCTGTGTGATGCTGTTGGCGTGAGGGCGAAATTAAGGCGAGATTCGAGGGCTCCGTCTGATCCTTCTGACCACGGTGTGTGTTCGGCACACAGCAACTTCAACAGATACGACAGTTCGTGGCGCCACCCGGCAGATCTCTCTGTGCTTCTTGCAGGCGATAGATGGCGCCGAACACATGAGTGAAGAGCTCCTGCAAGTCGAGAATCAGCTCAAAGACGACCTTGCAGGTGTGCAGAAACCATGAATGGTTTGATCTCTCCACTCCGCGCTCCTGTCATCATCAGGCTTCGATTCGTCGCTCAAGGGCGCCCTCTCATGGGGCCTTCCCCGGCTCAACTTGGTCCAGCACATGAGGGCAGGGCCTCCCCACACCGACGACAAAGGAGGGGTGCCGCTGAGCGTCGATGACTTCAAGGACCCCGCGCAGATCCCCATCTTTATATCTTTCCTTAGGGACTTCCTCCTACGCTTCAAGAAACACATCGGTGGGGCACAGGGGACGGGCAGACATAGGCCTTTTTCGGGCTGTATGCGTTGCAGGTGACGCCAACCGGATGGAGCACAGCTCAAAGGCGTTTTATGACTCAACTATGGCGCGGTACAGGAAAGATCTCCGTACCAAGGACACGTCAACAAATGGTGCGTCTGGTGGTCCCTGTGTGCAGGGCCAAGTCAGGGAAGGAGCCCGATGAGATGGTCAAATATGCCAAGAGGCTTCGCAATTCGCAGCACAAACACTATCACTCCATGCTCAAACGTGAGAAGATCAACAACGGAATTGCACATGTACAGGGCTCTTATTTGCACCTCACGTACGAATTCGTTGGCCAGTGGCGCACGCAGGCATGAAGCGCATCCAGGCCGCCATCGACATACTAGAAAAGGCACAGAAAGGTGATAAGGCGCGGGACAAATGAACCAAATATTTGCTTATATGGGTGATAGGCACATTGCCGGGGAACTGGAAGGACTCGCTGAAGGAGCTGGGGGTAAGTCTACCACTAAGTAAACAATCGCAAGATGGAGCGTCTCTCTCTCTCTGGCAGGTGATTCTTGCCTCGACAAGAGCCCAGCTTCTGCAGCTTTCGAGCAGAGTAGATTAGAGACGAGACTGGTGTGTTAGATTTTGGATTCATTCATCGCATTCTTCATGCCTAGTTGATGTACAAACTCTCGATCGATGAGTTAATTGGTCCCGCAATTGTGCACCCGATATCCATCTACACACGTACAGGGACACACACATAGCGCTGTCGCATCCATCCATAGCTCGAGTCTCATTCAGTGCGATCGGCTGCAGGTATGGGCTGCGGTGGCTCTCGGACCTGGACCACTCGATAAGCATAGCTCTCCTGCTGATGGAGGAGAGGAAGGAGGGACCAACATACACAGCACAACATACATTACGCAGCATCAAACTCACTCAGTGGTGTGTCTGTGTCTCGATCTTACGAATGCGTTGATCCACGAGACTCTAGTTCTGACAGCCTTGACATATTCTAGCGCCCTCCCCGCCGCCTCGTTGGCCACCAAGGGCTGCTTCAGGTCAAAAGGCTGAGAAGAAGGAGAACACCCACCAGACCACACTCGTGCATGCGTGTAGTGGCATTACTCTGAGTAGCACGATCTTGGTGCCGACGTCGAAGCGCTCTGTCAGCACACGATACAGCTGCCGCATCAAACCCTACATGCCAATACACACCCACCCATCCTCCCATTCCATGATGCGTACATGCGTTGCTGAGTCTGACCCTTCTGAAGCATGTGTTGGCACAGTAGATGATCGATGCTCGCAGAAGGGCCATGGTGGTCATGTCTCCGTGCAGGTACTCTATCACACCCCTGGGAAGGTCTCGGTCTGTCTCTTGTAAAGCAATATGTCTCCTCAGTCGGTCCAAAGCCTCACATGCGTGGGCGTGGCGCGTTGTCTGCAGCTCAACACCTGGGCAGCAAGCAGCACACAGACGGGCGTGCGTTGCCGCCGCTGTCTTATGGCGCGTCCGTACCTGTGGCACGTGTCAAATTGTGGAAGAGGACTGCCTGCAAGGCATTCTTCCCGACACCGCCGCCGATATCTAGCAACACGTCCGCTGTACCCGCCTGAATGCAACAAAAAGGAAGACAAGTGCGCGCAAGTCAGTCGCGTCGCTGCCTCGGCCTGCCCATTGATTGTACCTGGATCCATGAGTCATGCAATATGCTTTGAAGGCCCTCAGGTGTGATCTCACCATAGGTTGACTCGTCGCAACTCCTGACAATATATATTGACACGTCAGCCGTGCAGCAGCGGCACATGTCTGTCTGCGTGTCAGCCCACTCTCTGTCCTGTTCGTCCTCCATGTGGTGCTGGCCGATTCTGTTGACCGTGTCGGACGCTGGGTCATTCAGAGACACAAACCCTTCACACACGATACATACATACATACATACACAAGTCGATCCAAGATATGTGTGTTCGTCGTACCTGAAATTGTACTGTAGATATCGTTGAACAGCTCAGCAGCCTGCTGCCACGGCTCCTCGTGCACATGCCTCTGCCCGTCAGCCGCCTTGTCTGCATCTGTGTGGATCCTCTTGGCCACCTCAATGCCCAGGTCAAGAGTGCATTTCTGCGGCGGAGGAATGGTGGTGATGCTGTGACGCTGCCGATGGGCTGCTGACGCCGGTCGATCCGCAGATGTCTCTTGAGGCCCCTCGCCAGCCACCACCCTGGAAGAGGCAAAGAAGGACAAGAAATCAACGCAGTCTTAGTGTGATAAAGGCCGGCTGCTTACTTGTATACGATGTGGTCTGCGGGCTGTGACATCCAGGAGACCCTAGCAGGAATGGCCCCAATGCGCTCGAGATGTCTGGAAGACGACACGGGCATCCGCCGAAAGCGCCTGGACAAAGACGGACAACGGGGCAGCCAGCAGGAGACAACACGAAACTGGCTGGGTACCTTGCGACCGCAATCCTTGCACCGATCTTCAGCTGGTCCAGCAGCCTCTGGCCAACTGCATTGTTGAGGCTGTGGCGCAGACAAATATTATTGGAGAAGGCGACATCGACATTAGACACATCAGCTCTGACAGACACGCCGAGACACGTGCGTGACTGCACAAACACACACATGTCCATACTTGAGTATGTCTTGGTAGGCGAGGACGACCCTCCCAGGCCTTGTGGCACGCTCGCGGCACAGGTCGCCGCAATTCTGTGCGATTGATGTTTTCTCCTCGTCACCAAAAGGACGCCAGGGAGCCCCAGTCTGAAATTGCTCATTGACACGACCGAGAGCCAAGCAGCCGAGAAGAAAACGCCGATTGGCCAGCTCGACTCCTGACATGAAGGAGACCGGACACACACGCATCTGCGTGTGCATGGTGGCTGTTGTTTGTTGGTACCATAGGCCTTCGAGGCATTGTGCACTATCATGGCCTGTAGCGGCAGCTTGCCTACCCCGGTGCCGAGGTCAGCAAATACCTCTCCAGCCTGGAAGCCGACGAGTGGGTGGGTCAGGACGGCGGCCAGACCAGGAGGGGTCATTTCGCCATACGTCGATTCTGCGCACGACTGTCTGTCCTTGGCCGTTTCTCCGTCCGTCTTTTTTTCCATGACTCTGTTGGCCACATCATTCAGACGATGCAGGTCACGCTGCAAAACACCCACACCCCATCATGATGCCGCGCCACGACGCAAGGGCTCCTCTATCTTTCTGCCACTGACCTGGGCAACGAAGTGGCCACTGATATCTGCGTATGCAGGTTTGAGCAATGCCTCGTATGAACGAATGGCATCCACAGAGGACACACCAGACACACCACCACCTGCCCCCCTGTGGCTGCCCAACACTGGCAGGTCGAGTGAGCACTGCATGCCCAGCTCCAATGGAGGCATCGCACTCCACGGGTACTGACAGACAGACAGACAGACAGACAAAAGAGCTGTGCATGCATCTGTTTTGCACAATTCCTCTTACAAGAATTGTGTTCACGTCGATTTGCAGAATGTCGTTGGTCGACGGGACTGCTATCATCACCTTGCTGTCTGTGGGAATCTGCGATGACGCAGGTCCTCCCGTGAGCTTCTCTCCCGGCTGCCATCCATCGATGGCGCCATCAGGGCCCGCTGACTGGCCATTCTGATGCCACCACAGCTGATCGACAGACAGACAGACAAGGCACATACTTACGTGAAATCAGTAGTGGCTGTGGCCCTCCCTGCCTTGCTACCACTTCTGAGTACACGAGGGACTGCATGGCCATAAGACAGGCCAAACCAAGCATCAGGAACAGACCTTGCTTGAACCCAAATCGAACGCATCCATTATCTGTTCGTCCGCCGGCTGCCACATTGCAGCTGATGTCGCCGTCGATGGCCCGATATTCCCTCTCGTCCACTTCGGTGTCAGAAGGCCGGATCTGCAGCCGAGAGCGGTGAGTGGCTGTCATGACGTCAGTGGTTAATGGCGACCATTCAAAGGCTGCGATGGATATATCTGGCGGTCGGGTGCTTAAGGAACTGTGGAAACTAATCGGCAGTTGCTCAGTGAAGAGTCCGTTCCCTGGCCTGTCGTTCCCTGATTCGCTCGCTTCCTGGCCTGGTCTGCGAGCTACTCGAAAGTGTGTCAGTCACATCTTTTGAGGAAACGATGTGTCGGCCCGCAGATGGATAACCTCGGCTATAGCCTGATTGGTTTCTCAACAACATCCATGGACGTCGTCGTGGTTGGTGGTGCCAATATGGATCTGGTGTCATTTGTGCCGCGGCTGCCGCATCTGGGCGAGACCCTGCTCGGGCACTCATTCATGACATGCCACGGCGGAAAGGGGGCCAACCAAGCTGTGCAAGCGGCTAAGCTGGTCAAGGATGCGTCAGCAGTGGGCGTCATCGCCAAGCTTGGGGACGACGCGAACGGCAAGGAGATCAGGGAGAGCTGGGAGAGGATCGGGATGGACAGGTCGGGCGTGCTGACCACGACAGAGAGCCATACAGGTGATGCCCGTGATGGGCATGCTGGCGAACAAAGGAAATGAATGCATGGGGATCTGTTTCTCCCTCCCTGTGTGTGTGTCAGCTGTGGCGCCCATATGTGTGACGGACGATGGGGCGAATGCGATAGTCGTGGTGCCTGGCGCGGCAGCACTGCTGTCCATTGAGGACCTACACACACCACCCATCAAACAACTGCTCGCACAGGTACTGTAGCAACAGACATGAACCCGTTCACTCTGTGTTGTGTCACTCTCGCTGCCTACCTTCAGGCCAAAGTAGTTGTGGGACAGTTGGAGATTCCGCCGGAGATTACTCTGGAGGTGACAAGGGAGAGCACACAAGGCATGCAGGGCGGGCCGCATGTCACTGATCGCTCTATCTGCCTTGTGTGTTGTTGCGGCCACAGGCCTTCAAGATCGCTCGCGCGTCCAATCCGTCGGTGACCACCATCCTTAACGCTGCACCGGCGCCAGAGAAGCTCCTCGAGGGCTTCTTTGCCAACACCACCCTCCTGTGTGTCAATCAAGAGGAGGCAGCCACGCTCAGTCGACTTCCATGCAGCATCCTAGCAGTCAGTAACAAACACACACGGTGGCCACAGATGCGAATACGACCACTATGTATGCTTTGCTGTGTTCCTAATTGATGTGTGTGTATCTAGGAAGCGAAGGAGGCGTGTGAGGCCCTTCTCGATGCCGAGGGTCCCTGCCCGACTATGCAGGTCGTCATCACACTCGGCAAAGATGGATGCATGGCCGCGGAGCGGTTCAACGGCACCGGGCCCATCCTCACCACACACGTGGCCACCCCCAAGATCCCGCCGGAGCAGATCGTCGACACCACGGGCGCCGGGGACTCGTTCGTCGGTGCCCTGGCCGTGCTGATTGCCAGGGGGGCGAAGCTTGTGGTGAGTAGGCGAGGACGGGCAGCACATCGATATGGTATGTATGCATGGCTGTATCATTTGGTGTGTGTTCAGGATGCGTGTGAGAAGGCGTGTGTGGTGGCTGGCGAGTCTGTCAAGAGCAAGGGGGCGCAGGGGGGGTATGTAGGCAGAGATCAGCTGCCGGCCAGCGTGACAAATGCTCTCTAGGTGTTGGTGCGGTGAGGGAGAGAAAGAGAGTATTTGTGTCTGTGCATATATAGTGAGTTCAGTCGTGAATAGCGCGGGTGCGGTACGGTGCGTGTGCCACTTACTTCTTCTGTGTCTTGATTTCGACTCTGTACGTTGATCATTCACTCAACATACATAACTCACAGACAAGGGAGGGAGTCGAGTCGCCTTAGCGAAAGGCATCCCATCGTCTTCCACACACAGCCACCTCACGCCACCTCTCTCGCCTTCAAGTCGACACTAAACAGCACACCACCCCCACCAGCCTCCACTTCCCCTTGCTGCTGCACGAGCCTCGTTTCCTTCTCCATATCTCTCTCGACTAAAGACAACACGTGCTCTCGCGACAGCAGCAGAGAGGGGGCTCGATTAAGGCCCTCGCTGGTCTGGCATGCGATGAGAATGGTCTCGTGTTCGCGACGGTCGTGGCACAGGTCGCGCAGACCCACCCTTGCCGCAGCATAGGCCATGTCCTGACCACACACAGACACAGACACACAGAGAGAGGGATAATGCGATCCGTGTATGTACGTGTGCCAGCGCACTGCAGTGTGTGCATGTAGGGAGATGGATAGGATCAGGCGGCATCGGTAGACAGACCGCAGACCAGAAAGGTCTCCCACGCACACGCATGCGTGAATGCATCTCTCTGCGCGCGATATTGATCCCTCCAGAGACACGTCGCATGCCAACCTCTGGAAGGTATGGTAATGCGCGTCAGCCCCACTTATTTACCCACTTATTTACCCACCCGCCCCATCTTCCTTCCCACCTTTACGGCAGCAGCACCCTCGACCGATGCAGCCTCATCCATCTGCCCGCAATGCAGCTCCTCCAGGCCTGTGACCCTCTTCTCACCATCCCTCTGCCCGCTCCCAATGTCCACGTCGAGCATCGACTCGGCGACGTACAGCGCAAGACGGTCCAAGTGGTACACAGGGGGGTCGCCAGGCGCACTCAGGCCGAATGCTGAAGCCGGCTTGACGAAGAATGGCCCGGCAGGGATGAGGCCGGCGTATGTGAGGGCGTCTCTGGCTGTCTCCCATTGGCCGTGATGCACCAGGACATTCACCATCCACGTGTACACGCCCGCAGTGCCCACTGCACGCACACCATTACCATACATACCCATGGATGTCCGTAGAATCAATCAATCAGCCCGTTGTTCTCTCAGTGCTTGATACACGCACTTGCCTGGGTTCGTGATGCGATACTTGAAGGCACTCCCCTGCGTCTGCAGTGCACAGCCAACCATGGACAGGAAGATACCCATCCACCACCCGTTGCCTCTGTGTAGTCCTTGCTGACCTTCCTCCTCCACCTTCTGACGGCATCCTCCCACCCCGTCGGCTTCTCCACCTCACGCAACACCCCATCCACCACAGTGGCATCCACCGAACCACGAGTGCCCCAAGCATCACCCGCTGTCGTCAACAGGGCCGATCTGAAAGCCGCCTCATCGCCTCTCCTTGAGGCCGCATCCCTCATAATGTGCAGATCGGTTGACAGCAGTGACTCAGGGCTCTCGAGCAAGGTGCTGAGGGCATCTGTTGCCGACGCCACTGCTGATGACAGCCTCGTTGGGCGGGATGGGATGAATGCATGATGCCTGCCGTCTTGCGAGAACGGTCGCGCGATGCTCAGGGAAGCTGCCAGAAGGGAGAACACTGCCAGTGTGTGACCAGTGTTCATCTTCCATGAGCCATCAATGAATCAGTGACCATCGCTCTGGTCTTCTCTCCCAGCCAGCTGCGAGCTTAGCTTTCCTCCGAGGGAGGAAGCGTTCAAGGAGAAGAGCCTCAACGTCATCGTCAAGACCTTCTCGGCGCAGATCTATACTTTCTGACAGGAAATCGACGCTTTTCATCGACACCTCAATCGCCGCTCTCATCAATGCTGCCCAACCGCCTCGTTCGGGTGGCACTGGCGGCTCCATCAACGTCCCCGTCCCTCCCGCCATCAGCCGCAGTTCCCATCAGCAGGCTGGCTGACCCTTGGAGCAGCGCATCTCTGCCTCCAGGTGGCCCTTATCGCGGCCCGAGTCGGCGCAGCTTCTACACGTCCAAGTGGCAGCACCGGCTGCATGATCTGCTCATGCACAGGAGATTCGACCCGGTCCCCGAAATACCCGACTACGAGGCAAGCACACCAAACATGAGATATATGAGGGCGCTGCTTGGCTAGCTGCAGGAAGGAGATGTGTGGTGTGGTGTGATGTGTGCAGGTGTATGAGAATGTGAGTGAGGAGTTGAAGCCCATCAAGCCCAACTGGGATAGTCGACGGTGCGGCGTGCTGGGCTACAAGATGGGCTGCATGAACCTGTGGGACGAATGGGGGGAGAGGCACCACATCACCGTCGTCAAGGTAGGATTGATGTGTGTATTCAACGGCCGTCCATGAATGTAAGTGCGTTTCTCTCTGGTGCCTTGTCTTGTCTTTTCTTGTGTGTGACCATGAATCAGGTTGACCGTTGTGTGGTGTTGGAGCAGCGGACGTTGGCCAAGCACGGCTACGAGGCGGTGCAGCTGGGGCTGGGCTACCGCAACGTTTTCAGACAGTCCAAACCCAACGTCGGCAGATACATCAAACTGGGGGTCAGCACACACATCAATCCGGACACATACACATGATAGGATGTGATGTCACTCACATGCGTGTGGATGCAGGTTGGTCCGAAGCACATCGTCAAGGAGTTCAAGTGCACCGCCGACTGCCACATCCCCGTGGGCCACTTTATGTCGGTCCGCCACTTCGTCCCTGGGATGTGGGTCTTCGTCTCGGGCTGGACCAAGGGCAAGGGATGGGATGGTACCAACGCACACATTAATTACAGCAAACCACCGCACACCAAACCACACCACACAACCCAGCAGAGAGCAGCACGTGTCGGTAGGTGTCTGTGTGTGTGCCTGTTGTCGTACGTGGTCAGGTCCGGTTGGGCGTTGGGGTTTTGCGAGGAAGAGCGACGCCCACGGCACAGAGAAGAAGGCCCATCGCTCGCACGGCTCCACTGGCCGCGGCCACTCAGCCGACGTGGTCTGGCGCTTCAAGAAGATGGGCGGACACGTGGGGCCTGACCCCAGAATCGTCAACTGCAGGGTCAGTCAGTCAGTCGCTGGGCATCAGACATGGAGGGGGCGAGGCCTTGATGAAAACATACATGGCCCTCTCTGTGTGGCTGTCTGTGTTGTGCGTGCTGCAGGTGTTTCGGATCGAGTCTGCGCGGAACTTGCTGTTTCTGAAGGGGGTCATCCCGGGCCACAAGGGCCAGGTGTGCAAGATCAGCGACGCAAGGGGCGTCACCTTCCATCGAAATGGGTATGTATGCATCTACACAAACATGTGGATGGCTTCCTGCGTGCCCCTGCAAACACATGCCTCTCATGCAAGTGTGTCCATGTTGCATGTGTGTGTCTCTGTGTGTGTGTGTGTGTGTGTGTTCAGGTTGCTTCAGAACGACATTCCGCATCCGACGTTTGTGCCGGAGGCGGGGAAGGAGTACCCCGTGACTCTGCAGATGGCGCCTCAGGAGGCCGACCCCTTCCTCTACCCAGACAGGCCATTCTATGACGCCAAGAAGTGATCCGAGTCACTAATGGGGTCCATGTGGGAAACGAGGGACGGAGGGGGGTGGTCGGTTGCTGGTCTGCTAGTTGGTGGTTGGTTGGTCGAGCGCTTGTTGTTGGTGGGTTTTCATGTTGCCTCTACGCTGTCAAGGGTGCGTCCTCTTGCTCGCACTAAAGACAGCGTGCGGGCCTGCTGCAAGAAGTGACATGACACATTATTAATAAGGCATGGCATGCACGGCAGGGAGTCAGTTCTGTGGAAGCATGTCAAGTCCGCCCATGCCGAAACTGGATGTGTGTGTGTGTGTGTGTCAAGTGAACGAATGGACCTCTATCTGTCTCCATGTCATGCTCGAGCGATTTCGGTGCCATGCATGTGCGCACGTATCCCGAGGGGCATTCTCTCCGTCCGTCCATTCACTTGCGCGAGTCAGTCAGTCACTCAGTCAGTCACTCAGTCACATCCATCAGCCATTCATTCATTCATTCATCATCCCACATATCTCTCCATCTGAATCGCACCCCCCCGTCCGCATCCGCGCAGCCATCACTGGCCCGTGTCTCGATAGCCTCCGCCCCACCACTGGCGCCACTGGCAGCACTGCCATTGCTGCTCGGTAGGCTGGAATGGTTGGGCGCGTGTGAAGGGCGGGCAGAATGCTGCGGCGACGGACCCTCCGAGAGAAGCGGCGAGGCGAGGGAGGACTGGGACTCGCTATACGCCAAGCTGGACCGACTCTCACTGCTGCTGCTATTGCTGGACGAGACCGAGGAGTCGGACAAGGCGAGGCTGCCCGCAGCAGACGCACAAGGGCTGAATTCGGGTGGGGGCAGCTTCTCCAGCTTGAGGCGCGGTACGGTAACCCTGGCTCTCGCCGCCTCTGCACTCTCCCTCAGGTCTCCTGATGACGCTGGGGGTGGGGGTGGTGGGGCTGGCGCTGGGGCTGGGGCTGCAGCTGCAGTTGGGACTGGCGCTACCTGGGCCGGCAGAGGGGCAGGCCGGGAGGCCGAGGGGAGGGAGGGCTTCCACTGCATGGCCTTTTGCCTCGGGTGGCAGGCGGGGGATGGGGCGGTCATGCGAAGAGTGGCTGTCGTGGCCCGTCCCGTCCCATCCTCGTTGGCGATGCCACTCACCAGCCGCGTTCCTTGCTTGGTGTTGTTGCCCGTCTCTTGTGGCGGAGAGGGAGGAGCTGTGGGCTTCTCAGTTTCCTCACCGCCCACCTCCACCATACCCCCCTCCACATCAGCAGCGGCACCAGCGGCCGCAATCTCCTCATACAATGAGGGGCTGTCAGGGCGAGCGGCGAGACGAGTTGCCTCTCCTGCGGCCTCGAGCGCTTCTCCTGCGGCATCCAGTGTCGTGGCGGCTGCTTGGTTTTCCTGTCGGGTGTCGCAAGGGGCAGGCCGGAGCACAGAATGTATATACTCGAGGAGATCAGCCACGGACTCGTTGCTGGCCTGCGTCGCCATAGGCGGTGGCTGCGGCTGTTTGTCTCCGGTCGTCTCAGCTTCTTCGACCTCCTGGTCAGAAGGTGAGCGGGGAGCAGGGAGCAGCAGATCGTCCAACGGCTCGATGCTGCCCTCGGCCCTGGGTGTGGCGCCTGTGAGCGGTGGCAGTGGTGGCGTGTGGATAGGCGAACGGGACGGTGACGGGAGCGGAGACTCAAAGGGCGTCTCGTCCATCTCGTCCTCGTATGTGTATGCCGGGGGCTCTCCCTCCGACTCAAACAAGCGAATCTTCATAGCCTGGAGGAGGCAGCGGGAGGGAAAGAGACACACAACGCAGCGAATGCCGTGACGCTCTCCTTTTGTGCAAATCTACTCGTGGGTGGTCATTATATTACCTGATCTGAGCAAATGGCCCGCATGCGGGCAAGGGAGCGAACCAGACTCTGGGCAACAATCAGCCGGAAACAGATGTGCAGGTGAGCTGTCTGGTGAGTGAATGAATCGTGCTTATGTTACCGCATTGTTCCTTTCAAGCCCCTCGGCGTGAATGGATAGACACATATATTCGTCTCTCGTCTTCCAGCCAAACTCTCGGTAACGCTCGGCCCTCTGTCCAATGCACAGACCAGCACGAATCGAGACTTGCCGAGCTGGCAGCTTTCATGGTTTGTCCCCTCGCGTACCTCGGTAAGCCGTCGTATTTGCTCCTTCAGGGCATCCACCCTCTCACTCGTCCTTCGTCCAAGCCCCTCGATGGCTTCAGCCATCACACCCGTGTCTGTCGTCTCCACCACTTTCGTGGTGACTTGAGCGTCCCTGAGGTCCGCTCGGACGGACTGACTCTCAAGCAGTCGTTGGAGGCGCGCAATCTCCTCGTCCTGAACACACACACACAGGGCCCGGCCTTAGCTACATTGTGTGAATGCCCTTTGTGTCGCTGTCTGGTAGTACCTTCTGCCGGCGAATCTGATGCAATGTCTCCGTAGTCGACTGCAAGAATCAGCAAGCGACACGTGCAGATGTGTGATGTGACACGCACAAGCTAATGTCTCTGTACCTGGCATTCGACTTCGAGCGACTCGTGTTGCTGCAGAAGCGACCTGTACTTGGACTCGCTGTCCTTAGCGCTCTGACCAATACAAACCCAAAACACCGAAGTTCATCTAGCAGGCTGCAAGCTTTTCCTGCGCTTTCCTTTCTGTACCTCTGTGAGCCGTCGTATCTGCTCGTGCAGGGCACCTTCCCTCTCACTTGTCCTCTCAGCCATCACGGCTGCGTCTGTCGTCTCCACCGTTGCCGTGTTGACTTGAGCCTCTGCGGTTTCCGAAACGGCATTGGCTTCTGCTTCCTTTGTGTTCGGCACGACACTCGTCTCTGCTTCCCTTTTGTTGGTCTGCTTGAGCAGCTTCTCCAATGGCACTGTCGTGTTGACTTGCGCTTCTGTCACCTTTGGCACCGCACTGGCCGAAACTTCCTTTGTGCTCACCACAGCATTCGCCTCCCCATCCTTTGTGGTCCGTGCCGCGCTGGACTCAGCATCTTGTGTCTCCTTGACTTCTCCCCTTCTCGCCGGTGAGGCCTCGAGCGATGACGGGCCTGAGCCCATTCCTCCCTGCGTGCTGGCCCAGACTCGGTCCATCATCTCGACTGCTGTGTGTGGTGGACTAGGGATGGAAGGTGTCTTGAGACCGGCGAGTTGGGATGCTTTGGGGCGTGTTGGTGACGCATTCGGTGTCTGAAAGGACGAAGCGGACGGACTGGCGCCTGCCGATATCGGCTGGCCGCTCAGCTTTTCCTTCGAGAAACCTGACAAGAGAGAGACAAAACTGGGATGCTTGCTTTGCGGGCATCCACCGACGGGCCAGACGTCTGCTTACGTATCATGAGGTTCTTCAGTTGATCCGGTGTCGTCTGACTCACTACATACAGTGCGTCAGAGCACAACTGGGACATCTGCAATCAGCACAGACAGCAACAGAGAGCGCCGCATTGCATTGCAGCCATCGTAATCAGTACGTCTCGTTTGATCGCTGGCCATCCCGTGTCAGTGCGTGTCGGATGTCGTTACCTCCATGTCACACTGGCTCCGTGTGGAGAAGTCTGATCGGCTCTTCTCGAGCGATCCCATTGCTGGTCTGGGGGAGGGGGTCTTAAAGTTTTTCGTGAGACAATCGGGTGGTGACTTGAGCCTCGGCGTCTTTCGTGTGGGTCTGCTTGGGCAGGTCTTCCACAGGCGTCACCGTGTTGACTTGGGCAGAGAGCCTTGGCCATGGGGGCGTCCTTTGGGGCGTCTCCGGGCGCGTCGCGCCTTTTTTGTGATCTGCTTTTCCGTTTGGTTCTCTTGTTCCTCAAAGTACTTCACAGCGCAGCGCATTGGTCGATTTGACGTGAAGAATCCGCCGAATATAAAGCGTAGGCAGCGATTCTGACCACGTGACGGACGAACATCGCATCAATCGATGTTGTCTTGTTGGGCCCGAATGTTCGCTGGTGCGATAGCTGGTCCATCTGTTGGGCTGTCGCCAGGCTTAGTATGTACAGTTTCTTTTGAGCGCTTCCTTGCCGTCTCAGTGCAACAGTGCAGAAAGTCACGCCGTATCCGTAGGGAGAAGTCCGCTATGCTCTTGTCGAGCGGTTCTATCGCTGAAATGAGCGGAAATGAGAAACCCGAACTGCTGGGGAATGACGAGCCGCACACGAGCTGCGGGAAGAAAAGGCAGAGGAGAATGCATAGAGCGCCGGGCGTGTCACGGCCGAGGCGGGAATGCTGTCTATTAAAAAAAAGGGCTTCGTCCCCTTTTCCTGGGAGAATCTCGCCGGTCAGCGGGTGATACCACAGCGCCCGTCCATGCCATGCATCGTGTTGACGAAGGAAGACTCCAGACAGGCCACACGATGCATGTGACGTGGCGACACTGACTGACTCGCCCAAGTGAATGGACGGACGGAGAGAATGCCCCTCGGGTACGGACGCACATGCATGGCACCGAAATCGCTCGAGCATGACATGGAGACAGATAGAGGTCCATTCGTTCACTTGATACACTCACGTTTCCACAGAATTGACTCGCGAGCAAGTAGAAGTTGAGTAATCGGCGAGCTGAGACGATTGGGGTTCGCTCAGTTTTCGGGCAGTTTGTCGGATGATGCGTGCCTGTTCACACGCTTCCGTGCAGCTATGGTACACAGAGTCCACGTGCTACACGCACTGCCCGAGCCAAAACAAAAGTGACACAATCCTGTCCGCCTGACTGCCTCCCTGTCTCTCTGTCTGTCTGTCTGTCTGACAGACACTGAGGGGTTCACGGATTCGCCCCCTCCTGGCATACACGCGGCAGAGCGACACTACAGTCTCCACTCACAGAATGAAGGGAATGATGGCCGTGCGGATCCTGCACGCCACACACGCAGTGACACAGACACGTACAGAGGAAGCAACACGGGTCAACACGTTTGTGTGCTCTGTGTGGGTAGGTAGATCTTTCGCTGCTGACTTTGGGTAGTCAGGAAACTCGGCTTGGTATCTCTGGTGCTTCTTGATGGCCCAGTCGGCCATCTGGAGGAACGCTATCGCCAGAAACACCCAACCTGACACACACGCCCACACACAGAGAGAGAAGGTACACATGCAAAGGGCTGTGTCGACACATGTCGGTCTGCCTGTCAGTGTCACTTGAGTGCCGACCGGTGAGTGTGCCAGTCATGACGGCGAAGAACACCCAGGCCAGGCTCTCAAAGAAATAATTGGCGCACGACACCAGCTGGAAACCCCAACCCTGACCGGTCACAACACACACGCCAATGCATTGACGTGTGGACGACCATCAGTATGATGTCCGTTTCACCTTGGGAATGCCCCTTGCTTTGGTGCCCTTTGGCCTGAGGTTCCTGAGGATCAAGTGGGTCTTGAGATTCAACAACTCGCACACCTGACCAACAAGAACACATACAGCCGCCTTTCGCTGGTGTGTACGTGTGGTGCTGTCTTGCTGACCATCATGAGTGCGGCAAGTATGTATACGGCCTGGGGGCTCCAGTCGGGCGCCGTGTACTTGGGGTGGAAGAGGTAGTACCCCACACTTGTGCCGAACAACACCCTGAACGAAAGAAGCACCGCACACGCGCCATGGATGCGATGCGGGCAGTGCCGCGAGTGAGTCATGCAATCAGTGAGTGGGCTCTTCATTCATACCAGTAGTGGAGGCAGTTGATGGGCAGTCTGATGATGGGCATGGTGGCGTTGCTGAAGCGGTGTACAAACAGCGTCTCCAGCTCCCGCTTCATGTAGTGAAGCAGCACCAAACAAAACGCAACCCTGCACAAACACACACAGACCCCAAGTCGCCAATAAATGGCCTCCAGCACGTCATGGTTGCATCCCCATCCCCACTTCTGGATGAGGTGCTTGTTGGGCGCCGGTTGGCCGTAGATGAGCTGCGGCAGGCAGTAGAAGATGGGGAAGATGAGAATCGGCCCCAGGTACTCGATGACGAACACGAGCCGCCAGCTGATCTGCACGCCCAGGTCCTTGAAGAACAGCAGGTAGCCCTCCTCCGTCTCCTCAATGCCGTTGTCGCGCAGCGTCCCATCCTTCAACGCCGGACCGCTACCTGAACACACACCAAACATCCAATGCACCCACCCAGATCGATCTGCCGTTGCCTCTGACCCCTTGTCCATGTGGCTGGCTGGCTGGCGCACCTGATCCGATTGTGAAGCGCTGCCGCTCAGGATAGAACTTGACTGCACAGCACACACACAGACACAGAGGCAGCATCGGTCATGTGTCGTTGATGCCCCGACTGATCCCGCCTCTCTCTCTGCTCACATCTGCGGTGGAACTCTTTCTTGAACTCCTCGACGGATGCTGTCGCCGGCAGCTCAATGGCACCGAGGTAGGCGCCGCTGCGCTTCTTGATGCGCAGCTGGACCATCGTCAGCAGTCGAGTGTTGATGGAAGAAGCACTCGACTGGACAGTGGATGAGATCTGGCTTGATCTGGCCGCCGGATGATCGGCTCTTCAAGCTCGCAGTGGTGGCGCCTGGGACCGAAGTCGTCCGTTTTTCCGCCAACGAAGCCTGAACGAGGAATGAGTCGATAAGGTAGAACAAGAAAGACTTCGGATACATAATCCGCGTCCTCTCTGCTCTCGCCCGCTTCTCTCCGCCCTGCAGATCACTCTGGATTGGATGATGCAATTGCACCGCTGACACATCCGGCATAGTGGTGGTGATGTGGTCCCCGTTCTACGACTGCTGCCGGTGCGACTGGCTCATCTCCGTCCCTGCCATGGCAGTGACATCCCTCATCAAGCACATCACCGATGCAGGGTCAGGATCTGCAGACAGACCGGCGGCAGCAGCAGCACGGAAAGCCAAGCGGGAGGATCCGCCATCATCAGCAAACGGCAGGCGCGGTGGAGGTCAGGGGAGGGATGGCCATCAGCAGCGCAGAGGAGCACCGAGGGACCGGGACACCGCATCGGCTCTCTCGGTAGTGCGCATCGGGTAAGATCCCAGCAGGCGGAGATACCGCACTGACTGACACAACATGGTCTTCGTTGGTTGGTGCTGTGTTTCGTTGGATGCATGCCATGCAGTGCCCGCGGTTCGCAGATCTTGCTGGACGGCCGTGTGGCGAGGGGCAGCGGTGTGGTGTTGTCGAATGTGCCGATCATCCAGGATAAGGTACGGGCTTGGGCCGTCCGTCATTCATATTACCCGGTGCACACACTGGGTGCCACAAGCCACACAAATGGATGGACGGGGTTGACGCGTGTTTGTGTGCATACCGATCGGCCCGTTCTTTGAAGGTGTATTGGGAGGTACGAGTGCTCAAGGTGGGCAGGATTCTCGTGGGCGTGTCGAGGGAGCTCGTGGGCGACTACCTGGAGAATTTGGCGGCAGATGGAGATGGGAGAGGGGCCGGTGGGTTTGGCGATGGCGTCATGAGCTGGGCCAGGGCATTCGGCGTGCAGGGTGGCATCCCCGTCGCACCTGACGACGTCATTGTAAGCCCATATGCACTCACACCCGCCACCCCACGCAAATCTTCCTTCCTGCTTGGCTTGTATGGACGTGGTCGTGTCCTTGTTTGTTTGTTGTGCGCAGTCCTGCACGTTTGATCAGTCCGACATCCCTACTCGGCTTGCCTTCCGTCTCAACGGCAAGGCGCTCGACTCTGCAACAATCAGTGGGGTCAAGGGCGAGGTGCGGCCGGCTGTGGGGATAGCAGAGGGTGCCTGCGTGGAGGTCAACTTCGACCCTTCTCATTGCCGCCATCTGGGTGCGTGTGTGGGGGGTGGTTTCAGCTGCCTCATGGTCAGCAGACTGCTCTACGGCGGCAATGGGTAGTCCAGACAGACATACAGGTGTGTCTGTCATCGATAGGTCAGGCAAGTCAGATTTGTGTAGCGGTTGTGTAGATGCCGGCGAGGATTTCGTGCACACACGGATGGACGATGGATGCGATGCGTAGGTATGTTCTCATGTGGTGGACTGAATATACTGGATGGATTCCTTCATGGCACCAGCAGCAGTAGCAGCAGCAGTCCACACACAATCACATTCACCGAGGTCATATCGCTACTAGCACACGGGGAAACGCGTCCATCCATCCATCCATCCAGGCAGGCAGGCAGGCAGGCCGTCAAAAGTGAACGGACCGGTGGTGATGAAATGTGGATCGTATCTATCGATCGCAACAGCGGCCAACCAGCCAACCAACGGGACAGAGAGAGAAGCAGACACCTGGTGCTATACAAGCGACAGACAGGGGAAAAGGCAGGCAGACAGACGGACAGACAGCCACAACAACACCCACCCATCCACCCACCCACCCATCCATCAATCAATCCATCCGCAGGCCAATTATCAGTGTACACACAGTGAGTGAGTGAGTCACTGACTGCATGTCATTTGCCCACACAACAAACAGAGACCGCTGTCGCTGCTCTGCCGCAAGGTTGCCCCTGCCCTGCCCTGCCCCCCTCCCTCTCTCCTGCCTCCCTCCCTCCCTCAGTCGATACCTACTTCGGTGCATTCACTTGTGTATGTGTGTGTGTTGCTTGTTTGCCGCATCTTATTTCTGTGTGTGTCTATCGGGTTCATCCCGCCCGCTGCTGCCTCTGGCCGAGCTGCAGCATCTGGATGCGCCGCGTGATCTCGTCCAGCTCTTCCTGAAGCTCTCCACGACCTGACACGCGCGCGTGTACCACCACAGACATGGATGGCCACATGCGCCTGTCTGTCTGTCTGCCCTTCTCTGTGTGTGGTGGTCGGTATGGTGCTTACTGTCCACCATACGCTGCTCCTCCTCAGTGAGCACGTCGCCCAACTCGGCATCCGTCTCCATGGCCTCCACCTGCAGCAATCCATTCATTCACACCTTACTTTCCGCCACTCATAGGCAGGCAGACGTCCATCTGTCACGGGATGTGATGTGATGTGATGTGCATTCATGCGCAGAGCGGCTCGCTGTCTGCCAGTCTGCCTGCCTGCCTGTAGGCTCTTCCCTCCCTCCCTCCCTCCCTCCTTCCCTCCCTCTCTCCCTCCCGGGGTCTCTCTCTCACACCGACCTTCTGGATGTTCTGGCGCAGCTCTTTCTCCTTCTCGTGCAACTCGGCAATTTCCTGCACGCACCACCCAATCGACACAACACACCCATGAGGGAGCATATGTGCGCGTGTCATTCAGTCTGCGTGTCGGCAGTGAATGCCATGCAGACCTCCACGATCGAATACTGCGAGCTGTTGTCGTTGGTGTAGCTATTGCCATCGCTGCCGCGGAACTCCTGCTGCGCCGTGCGGAACTCGGTCTGGGCGGCCTCCGACTCGGGGTAGCCCTCGTCGTCACCAGCACCACCGTCACCGTAGCCCGACTCACTCCGGGCCGCCCCATACATGCTGGGCGGGCCGCGAGTGGTAGCCTCCTCATCGTCACTGCTATCATCCCAACCGCCACGGCGCACAGGTGGCCCGCCTCCGTCCCCACGACCCCCGCGGTAGCCGCCCCGCCCACGCACGCCCACGCCACCACCGCCTCGGCCACGGCCGTTGCTGTTGGTGCTTGGGGTGCCGCCGGCCCAATCGCCCCTGTATGCACATCATGCGTGAAGACAGACGGCAGGCAGCCCATATGGGGTGTGTGTTGACTTGTTGCGGGTTTCTATCTGCGTGTCTGTGTGTGTGTGTGTGTGTGTGTGTTGTGTCAGCCACACCCACCAGTCACTGTTGTTGCCATTGGTGGTGCCATTGGTGCTTCCATTGGTGGTGTTGTTCTGGAACGTGTCGGCGTAGTTGGAACGGTCCCTGGGCCGGTCGGGGCAGGTGCGCTTGTGCAGCTCCATCTCGACGGCGGTATGTGTGACTGCACACACCCATACAACATCCACAAAGACAGAGAGAGAGGAATGACACGCGCATGGCAGGACAAGTGTGGGTGTGGGGAGGGGGGTTTAACGCCTTTCTGTCTGTCTGCTTGTCTTGTCTGCGTGAGTGGATCGCCGGCCGGTCACTGTCTGTCTGTCGTCACTTCCTTACAGTGGAGGACGTTGTATGGGCACCGTTTGACCTGGTTCTTCATGTACTTGTAGGCCTGACACTTGGTGGTGTAGTGCCACCTGCACACAGACAACACACACCACACAGTGTCAGCCATACCACATGATACCACATATTCACATCACATCACATCGCATCGCATCGCCCACACGCACCACACATCTGACACCATGCCAGTCAGTCATTCAGTGAGTCAGCCTACGGACGTACATGAGTCTGCTCTTCGGCACCATGTGATTCGGGTCGAAGAAGCAGGGCACCTTCTCCTCTGCACACACACACACAGAGACAGCACAGCACAGCACCACACCAACGCCACACGACGCCATTGCCACATCCCATGTTCTCGTCGTGCACTCCTTCTCTTCCTTCCCGATGGCTCACCGATGTCGAACTCTGGGCCCTGCTTCCTCGGGCGCGTCTCGACCATGGCTGACGAGCGATAGGCTAAATAAGCAACACAGGACCTTTCGAAGCGATAGGGGGCGATGGAAAGCGATCAACAGAGGCCGGGAAACAGCCTCGAGGCCTGAAACAGTCTCAAGACCCCAGGGTGCTTCCTGAAACCGCTGCTGCTGAAACCCTACCCTGCGGCCCTACAGCCCCAAGCGAAATGATATCTGAGGTTCTGTTTGCAGTCGTGGGCGTGCCGGGTGACTTAATTCAGCTAGAGGGCGAGTGTTTTGTCGTCAACCCCGCCGTCAAGTCGCTGGCCAAGGGCGAGAGCGAGCTCATCGGATCTATCGTGGCCACAGGCGCTGACGTGGCCGCACTCAAGAGCTTCGTCACAGCCGCCACACAGGCTTCAGAGGAGAATCAACATGCGGCAGGTAGCTCTCCCGATGGATGGATGGATGAATGGAATATGTGTTTGTGTGTGGTCCACCAGATCAAGTTTATCCCTGGTTGTGTGTCAAGGGAAATGGAGTGTCCCCCACCGGTCTGTATGTGCAGGCGCTGGCCCGGCAGATCGGGGCCTACCTGCGTGAGTACCACCGGAAGGTCTGTGACCTGGAGCAGCAGTACCTGGAGGTAGGCACACAACAGCATGGGTATCGCCGAGAGCCGGCAGGTGTACACACATTGAAATCAATCATGGCCATGCAGGACCCCCTCCTTCCCTTCTCGCACATATCGGTGGCGCTGCAGCACCAACCACACGCCATCAGGACACTCAGATCGCTGGCACAACAGGTGAGGGAGGGACAGATGGAGTGGAGACCCACACACCTACACCTATACACCCACACCAGCATCCACACCACACACAACACGTCCCTCCCTGGCCATGCCATGCCACGCCCCAGGTGTGTTGGTCTGACCGAGGAGCCGCCACCTCGTCCACAGGTGCCGCGTTGCTGGACACGATATGGGACGGCTGGTGGACGGCCCCCTCGCCCTGCCGCCCGCTGCTGGCGTCAGTGCTCAGTGGAGTGGGCGAGGTGCTGCTGTACCAGCTGGTGACCTGGGTGGTGCGGGGGGAGCTCGTCGACCCACACGGAGAGTTCTTCGTCCGGTGCTGCCGCGATAAAGGGGGTTCTGGAGGTGATGGTGATGGTGGGATGGTGGCCGATGGCAATGGAGAAATGATAGGCAAAGAGGTGTGCGACGGGGAGGGCGGTAGGGAGAGAAGGAAGGCTATGTGTTCTGCTGTATGATGCCTTGGTTGTATCTGGTTTGCTGTGGTGTGCTGTGCTGTGTGGTGTCTGTCGTGTTTGTTGTGTGCAGTGCGGTCGCTACGAGTGGAACGACATGTTCGGCCTCCGATACGACGCCATCCCCTCGGCGTCGTGCGTCTCCATCGCAACGGCGAAAAAGGTAGGTGTACATCCGTGTGTGGATCTGCATCGATACCAACCAACATGTCTGTAGCGCCGCGCCCCCCACCTGTACGGACTGCAATGCCCTGCAGGTGCTGTTCATCGGCAAGGCCGTGCGGGTGCTCCGACGCAGCGGCCTCTGGCGACACACTGACATGCGAGACATACAGCCCACACTGGACAAAATGGTGCGGGTCGGGTGCAGCAGTACACAAGCATGCCTATAGCGAGCGTGTGCATCATCAGCTTCGCTTCCTGTCTGTCTGCATGTGTGTCCTTAGCGTGATGTGTTTGCTGTGGCCGTCAAGGGCGAGATGACGCCTGTAGCAGTGCTCGAGGACACTGTCGAGACGCTCAGGGCCGCGGTGAGTGAACGAACGCACAGCGCATGGGGCGTGCGAGTTGCTCTCTCCTGTTCTTGTCGGCTTGATATGTGTGTGTATTGTGTATTTTGTGTGTGTGTGTGTGTGTGCGTGTGTGTGTCCGCATCAGGTAGCTCACCGTCTATGGCGTCTGCTGCACGCGGCTGGTCTGGTGGAGCACATCAAGGCACTCAAGACATTCTACCTCCTCGGAGGAGGTATAGTACAGTACATTCCCATCCCATCCTGCTGCCATCAACTTAACCGGGTTGGTTAATCAGGTTTCTTCTTCCAAGTGTTGCTGGACGAGGCTTGGCCCCTGCTGTCGTCCCCTCCAGACGACAGCACCACACCCACATCGATGCAGGACAGCCTGCAGCGTGTGGCGTGGCACCGGGCGGCCCGGGCGGTGGCGGATGATGCCGACGGTGGGGGTGCGTGCGCACATACCGCTCCGACGCAGACACAGACACAGACACAGACAGAGACGGACGCAGCAGCAGCAGCAGCGGCAGGGACCGGTGTGGTGAATCCTCTGTCGTCTCACGTGGAGCACTTCAGTGTGCGGCTAATGTACGTCTGTCTGCGCGTCTTGGGGGAGCGACCATTGATGGGTGGACCGAGGGATGGGTGTGTGTGTGTGTGGTCAGGTCCAATGGGTTTGAGGTGTCTGCCAGCATGAGGGGGCTGTCGTCCGTGCCGCTGCTCATGGCTGGAAGAACCAGGTCAGGTGGGCAGGCCGTTGCCTACATCCGTCTGGCCTGTCCGGATGCACTTATGGTGTGGTGTGCTCAGGCTGTCTGACGACGGCACCATAGTGTTGGGCGAGCCGTCCCTCATCCAGGCCTCACCCGCATCAGTCTTCTTCAACAGAGACAACGTACCCATGGGTACGGTACTCACTTCACCTAGGATGTGCAGACACATCACATGCAACACAACACATGCACACACGTCTCGCTGCACGCATCCCGTTCATCCATGTGTGCATGTGTGTGTGTGTGTGTGTGTGTGAGCAGACCAGGGCTCCAGCGCGTGTTGGCACCTTCACCGGCAGCCCGCCGCCCACGGCTTCAAACACACTCTCAACATCCGACTATTCGAGCCAACACCACCACCCCCCACAGGCAGCCCCAAACACCAACAGCCCCCTTCCATCCCCTCTGCGCGGCTCCGCATGGGCGGCACACGAGTGGCCATCGTCTTCCAAAACCGCACACCGCCGTCGGCACTCCACCGTAGCACCACCACCACCAGCAGAAGGGACAGCAAGGAGACCACCGCCGCCACCAGCAGCAGCAGCACCCCGGTGCTATGGCCGGCCATGCCCGAGTGTGTGGTGGTGGAGGCGGCCGTGCGGCTCATGCAGTTCCCACACGGGAGCTCAGACGCGCCAACAGGTGGAGGAGGTGGGTCAAGGCGGCTGTCGGTGGACATGGCGGCCTACCTCATCTCGGCAGCCATGCCCTCGCCGAGCACCAAGAGAGACGATGCAGCAGTGTCGTTCCTGCGTGCGGCTGAGGTCCGGGACGCCCTGTGGCAGACCAGGGTGGTGGCTGGTGCTGATGGTGGTGGTGGGGTGGGTGAGAGGAGGGGGAATGGGGACGGGGAGGGGGAGGACAACCATCAGAGGGGAGGCAGAGGTGTTCATCGGCTGGGCGGCAAGGGCAAGGTCACCGCGCTGGCTGTCGAGGCACACGCACAAGACGGCAGTAGTGAGCTGTCTGTCGAGTGCCAGATACGGTGAGCTGAGCTGACCTGAGCCGTGCTGTGTCAGGCCATGTCTGTGTGTGTGTTTGTGTGTGTCATCGAATCGGATCCGCTCCGCCAGTGTTGCTTATGAGGTGGGCAGTGGAGAGCGTGGCGGCCACTTGGTGGTGCATTTCGACGCCATGCACAGCGCGTCCGATGCAGCAGCGCAAGATGACCAAGACCCCCTCCTGAGGATACCCATCAATGTGCCTGAGCACACACACTCACACGCGTCTGGTCTCCACTGCCCTTGTGCTGTGCTGTGCTGTGTTGTGTGGTGTGTTTCTGTCTGTCAGCTGTCGTCCGTCCTATCGCTGGACCTCGGCTCGCTCTTCGTCGGGTGGGCACACAAACACACGCAGACACACACACACACACTTGAAGGTGAATGCGTGATTTCTCTTTTCGCGACGTACAGGCTGATGACTCTCCCGCTGTCGTTCGAGCCGCCCGGCCATCCTAGCCCCACCACCACCAGCAACAGCACCCTCCTCAACGGCAGACCGTCGCAACCGGCGACCAAACTGCGCCTCGTCACCCAACAGCAGCAGCAGCAGCAGCAGCACCCCAATGCGGCTTCCTTCACCACACAAGACTGGTCTGTATGCCTGTTGATCAGACGCAAATACCACCACGTATGAGAAGGTGCGATTGGTTTGTGTGTGTGTGTGTGTGTGCGTCAGGCCGTTTGAGGTGCGTGTGTGGCGTCACGAGGGGTGTGCCGAGGCGGCAGTGGCCGGGAGCGGCAGCAGCGGCACTACCAGTATCAGCAGCAGGGGTCCAGGGGGTGCACTAAGGGGCGGTGCACACAGACAACACACCCCTTCATGGCAGGTGAATACGGACCGAACCGCACGAGGGGGGAGGGGAGGGGAGGCATTCATCATTTTGTCTGTGTGTGTGTGTGCGGGCAGGACGTTCGGCTGCACTATTCGCCCCCCTGGCCCATCCCACTCGTCATTTCCGACGCGTGCGTGAGCTACCGCCTCCCCTCCCAACACACAAGACACACACCGCACCGCAGTGGAGTGGGTGAGTATCTTCCTTGTTTTCACGATTCATTCATTCAGCAACATCGAGAGCTACAACGCCCTGTTCTCCTTCCTGCTGGCACTCAGGTGACTGACTGACTGACTCACTGACATACTGCATATGAATCGGTCCAGTCCGCAGGGGTGTGTGTGTGTGGATGTGTGTGTTGTGCGTGGCAGGAAGGCTCAGTATGAGCTGGAGCTGGTGTGGAAGGACGGCTCCGTCGTACGACGGTACGCACGGACGCCAGCAGACAGACAGACAGCCAACCGCCCCGCCAATGGATGGATGGACACGCAAAGACCAAGACCCCCCCCCCCCACACACACAATCTGGCTTGCGTCGTTGTGTCTTCCTTCCAGTTTGTTGCCCCATGGCAGTAGCAGTAGCAGTAGCAGTAGCGCTGGTCCAGCAACGGAGGATCGCTCACGCTCACACACACAGGGGCGGGACCGATGGACGCCCGTGTGGCTACTCAGGTGGTGGTGGTGGCCACACGCAGCAGCGGTGTTGTTGTTCCTCATCATCTCTCATTGTGCATGTGTGTGTGTGTGTGTGTGCAGGTGCCGCATGAGCTACATTGTGTCCCAGGTGTTGCAGTACCTGCAGCAGGACGTCATCGAGGTGAGCAGGGCAGGGGACACACACATTCAATTCACGCCTCCATCCAGTGGATTGCTGCACGCAATGCACCGCAGGAGGAGTACCTGGGTCTGCTGCACCGCATAGAGCACAGTCAGGACTTCGAGGACATCAAAAGGGCGCACGACACCTTCCTGGCCGTACTCATGACGTACCTACGCCACGCAGCCACACGCACACCAGACCAGCCAGATGTGTCTGTGTCTCTCTCTTTGTGTGGTAAACGATCTGCATATATGTCAGCCGTTGTTTCCTGCGCCTGTCGGTGGTGCATCGCGCCATTCTCGAGCTGGTGGATGCCGTCCGGCGGTTCACAGAGGCCGTACACACACACGCACACACCCTGGCAGAGGCGCACGCCGACAGAGATGAAGACAGCAACGGCAGCAGCAGCAGCAGCAAGAGCTGGGCCAACTTCCAAAGCCGCATACACATGATGGAGTGAGGAAACCAAGACTCACCGACCAGTCTGGAGGGTGTGCGTCGCATTCATCTGCTCGGTGTCTGTCTGTGTGTGTGTGTGTGTGTGTGTGGCATGTCAGATCTAGCTTCGACCGTTGGTTGTGCCTGTTGTTCCAAGAGCTGAGCTCATGTCATCAGGAGCAGTCGGTCGCCGTCGCCAACAACACACTCGCACAACTGCTACTGCGGTCGGTGGGGTGGGAAGGCGCAGACACGACGACACACAACACATCACAAATACACACCGCACAGGCACGTCACGTCTATCTATCTTTCTGTCTGTCTGTCTGTCTGTGTCTCGTTGTGTGTCAGGTTGGACTACAATGGTTACCTGTCGGCGTCCATCCAGCGGCCCCAAAGGCCGCCACCGACAGCCACACCACCATCCTACCCCCTCATGCACACCAAACAGACACCCTCTCCCCCTCCGCCACTACACCCACAGCCACCCCCTCCCCCGGCACACACACAGCCACAGCCGGTGCCCCCCACCCTCAGTATGCAGCATGGTGTGGGCGTGGGTGTGGTAGATCATTTGTTGAGTGCCGAGCAGCGTCGTGAGATGGTGCGGCGGTATGAGCGGCAGGTCAGGCTGGCCACACCTGCTGAGCGCTAGAGAGATGGAAAGAAGAGAGATGGATGGATGGATCGACGTAGGCATTGCATGCCAGGTAGCGGCGGTTCTGGCGGTCGGTCGGTCGTAGCCACGCCACGGGGGGCGGTGACTTGACTGACTAACATGACTTGGTTGTGTAGACGCGTGTCCACCCCTGCCTGTCCTGCATGGCCATGATTGATTTCAATGTGCTTATGTGTGTATGTGTGGACATACTATCAGACGTCAAACAGTGGTCTCGGCTTGGCCAGCCAGCACACACTCAAGAGACAAAACTGTACCAACCGCCACGCCACACACCTCCCTCCCACGTCGCCTACAACGGACCAGGTAGTGTGTCGCTGCTCCCCTCAAACGGCACACTATCTTGGTCCGCCATCGGCCCCGGGGGGCATGGACATGCACATGGCTGATGGATGGTGGGATCCCGCAGCGCTAGACAAATACGCCCCAGCTAGCTTCCCTCGTACACGCCATGCATTGCATCAAGCATTCGACACGCCACACGCCCCTCAGTCGCGCCGGTCTGTCTGTCTGTCTGTCAGCCTTCATGCTTGAGCAGCACATCCACCGCCAGCAGCACTCGGTACCCCAACCCTTCACCATCCCCCTCACCGTCAGCCACAGGGAACTCAGGCGACCGGTGCAGCGCTGCATTCGCAAACCGCACCTTCTCACCCTCACCCCCACTGCCACTCCCCACATCCCGGAACCAGTCGCCCTTGAGCACCAAGACATCAAACGGGTCGCTCTGCTGGGGCGCATCCACACTCGGCTGCATGGCCGCGGCAGTCTGTGTCGTCTTGCTGCTGCCGAGCCACTGGGCCACGGAGAAGCGGGGGGCGGCGGCTGTTGGTGTGCGTGTGTGGCTTGTGAGGGCCCACTGGGTGCCCGGCCCTTGGTATGTGAGAAGCAGGCGCAGGAACACTTGATCGCAGTGCCACCTGGGGCACATGGTGTGGTCGGTGCGGTAGAAGTTGAGCACCACCTGGTCCGTGTCCACTGAGCAGCACTGGGGCTGGTCCGCAGAAAAGGAGGAGGAGGAGGACATGTACCGCGACGCACCCAGAACTGTGAAGTCCACGTTGGCCTGCATGTCAACACATCAAGTGCATTCATTTTGTCCGCCGTCCTCCCCGCCCATCCACTCACACACTCACTGACTGACCTGAATGTCATTGACGAGGTCCCTCCTCGCAGCAGCGTCCATCCCCCCCTCCCTCAGCTCCTCGTCCACCACCCTCCCCACCGCGTTCCGCCGCAGATGCAGCCCCCGGATGTTGGGAAACCCCTCACCGTGGCTGTGCTCCCGCAGCGAAGCCACCAGCTCTCCCGGCGCCTCTCGTCGGAAGTGAGCGACATTCAGATTAGCGTCTCGGAGGAACTGCAGGTAGGCGTCTGGGTCAAGATCACGGGTCGTCAATGTGTTCTCCAGCACCGCTGGCTCTCCCTGGCTGGTGACGGCGGCCTCTTGTTTGCTCAGGGTGGGCAGGCTGTGTGCCACGTGCAGGGTCCTGCGGGATGGTCTTGGCGGGTGGGAAAGAGATGCGCCGGGTAGGGAGAGAGCTGCGCGTGCGTCATTCGCCGCCTTTGGCTGAATCCGAAAGGCGTCCGCTGAAGCGATGAGCAGCAGCAGCAGGACAGGAAGGGTCTCCAGGAGCATCATCGCAAGGCCGTGATCAGTTGCTGTTGTGGCCGGTTGTGGCACGCGGGAAAAAGATAAAGGCCGTCTGAAGGTGGCGTTGAAATGAAAGGGGGACGTCCAACACGAAGGAAGGCCGCCCAGTGTGAAGCAAGAGAGCGGTTTCACGGAATGTCAAGGCTGCAAGCTCGCACTGCGGCGGGTCTTTCTTTCTTCCGCGGCCCACTCCAGTGGCCCTGCCTGAGTGAGAGCCCCTGCAGCGTGCATCTGTGAAGGGTGCCTTCAATTTCTTCTCAGTCGATCCTCTCGCAGCCGTCGCCTGCCGGATCTTGCCGGATCCAGCCACCCCACCAACCCCCTGGGTCTATCTTTTCAAGGCGACTGTACGCCATGAAGATCTCTGAATCTGCCGCCCTGGCCCTGCTGGCATGCGCGTCGCTGTGCTGCGTATCTGCCGACATTACTGCCTCGTTCAACCATGGTGTGGCGTCTGGAGACCCCCTTCCTGATGCCGTCATCATCTGGACGCGCGTCACCATCAGATCCACCGAGGCCCCGCCACGTGAATGAGACACTCACTCAGCCCCCAAGACACCCATTCACACACACTGTGTTGTGTTGATTTGGATGGATCGCTGTGTGCAGGCGACGAGAGTGTGACAGTGAGCTGGGAGGTTTCTCGTTTCGAGGACTTCTCCGAGGTGGCCAAGAACGGCACCTTCACAACGGATGGGAGCCGAGACTGGACCGTCAAGGTGGACGTCACGGGCCTGGAGTCAGGCAAACGGTTCTTCTTCCGCTTCATCGTCGGCGGCGTGGTGTCGCCTGTGGGCCGGTTCAAGCTGCCCATGCCCGCTGGCGAGTTCATGGAGCGCATCAAATACGCGGCATTCGGCTGCACCGACCTGGGCCCATCATACTTCTCGGCTTATGACTTGTGAGCACGGGCAGAGAGGGACAGGGATGCAGGCAGGGAACAGGGATGCATGTGTCTGTGCGGATGTGTCTGTGTGCAGTGCGTCGCGGTATGAACTGGACTTCTGGCTTCACCTTGGTGACTTCATTTACGAGTACTCCCGCATTGCACTGGCGCCGGAAATCGTCCCACACCAGGAATTTGACTGGTCAGCCAGCCAGTCAGTCACTCCCATCTGTCTGTCGGTGTCTGTGTGCGCCAATGTGTGTGTATGTGAATGTGTATGTGTGTGTGTGTGTGTGTGTGTGTGTGTATGTGTGTATGTGTAGGATCCCCAACGCGCATGTGAAGCCGTCGCGTGACAACAAGACCGATCACTTTGACACCTACAAGATCTCAGGAGAGGTCTTCACGCTGCAGGACTACCGCGACCGCTATGCCAGCTACCGGAGAGACCCCGGCCTGCAGGCCATCTCTGCATCGGCACCCATGATTGGCGTTTGGGATGACCATGAGTTTGCGGACAACTCGTACATGAACGGTCGGTGCAAACACACACACTCTCAGGGAGGGAGGGAGGGAGGGAGGGGCGGAAGGGGTGGGTGACGGGTGCGCTTGTCTATGCTCTTCGTGCGTGCAGGTTCCCGCAACCACAATGTCACGTTGGAGGGCGACAACTTCGAGACGCGAAAGCGTGTAGCGCTGAAAGCATGGTACGAGTACCAACCCACCCGTGAGGTCGACGAGGAGGGCAACGAGCGCGGCTTCCACATCTACCGCGCCTTCCCTTTCGGCGACCTCGCCAGACTCGTCATGCTCGAGAACCGTATGACTGCCCGCACCAACAGCAACCCGCCACGCGACCCGGAGGACCCCGATTTTCCCTTCAAGGTCTTCAGCGACGAGTTCGAGTCCATTCTTGAGAACGTCTTGGACATCCTCGGTGACACGCCTTATGACGAGTGGGAGGGGTCTGAGGTCGAGCAGCAGCTGATTGAGTACAAGCAGCTGATTGATGTTTTCCGTCGGAGGCCGGAGGGGCACATGATTGGGGACCACCAGATCGACTTCGTCAAGGAGCAGATCGAGGAGATGCTCGCGACAAACACGGTTAGCCAGGGAGAGAGAGGGACAGCAACCAGCTTGTCTGGATGCACACGCTTCCTCCCCTCTCTCTCTCTCTCTGTCTCTCTGTGTGTGTGTGTGTGAAAAGACGTGGCTGCTGGTGGGTCAGCAGCAGGTGGTCCAGGATCTCTGGTGGTTCGACCACGAGGCCGCCATTGCCAACAAAAAGGCAGAGGGCGACATGGTCACCGCAGCCATGTGGCAGGTACGGTACCCACGCACACACACCAAGCACGGGCAGCCACCACACATCACACACACATTGTCTGTCTGTCTGTCTGTCTGCATGCAGGAGGCCTTTGACAACTTCATGGGCATCGCTGAGAGCCCGCAGGTGTGCAACCACCAGACCTTCCCCCACGCCAAGAGAATCCAGTACAAGCAGTGCACCGACCTCGACGACGCCACGCTGGACCAGGCCCGTGCGGGCCAGGCCGCAGCCAGATACAAAATCAACTGGTCATTCGACGGCTGGCAGGTGCGGTGGGTCCACACACACACACACACACACATGATGAGTGGACTGATGGAGATGGCCAGACATTTGGACGTTTCTTCTTTGTCTGTTTGTATGTCATTCCTTCAGGGTTATACGGATGAGCGTGATCGTCTGCTGTCAGCCCTCGCAGGAGCCAACGGCAACGCAGCCGTGTACGCCAGCGACATGCACGAGTCGTTTGTCGGCATGCTCCGCGAACCAACCACCAGCGCCGCCGCCAGCAGCGGCAGCAACGCCACTGCAGCGAACAACACCAGTGCTAGCGGCGCCGGCGGTCGTCGGCTGGACCACACACAGCACCTGCGTGTGCTGCAGGTGGCTGGTGTGAGTGGTGAGACCGAGGCGACTGATGGGGTCAAGGGGGATGTGGTGGCTGCGGAGTTCACAGTGGGGACGTTTTCGGGCGGCGCTGAGAGCACCATGAACTTTGCACCCATGGTGACGACACATTAATGACAAAGGGAGAGAGGGAGGGAGGGAGGCCGGGAGGCAGGGAGGAAATCTGTATCTGACCGTGTGTGTGTGTGTGTGTGTGGATGCGATATCTGCAGGACTTCAACGATGCTGCCCGTGTGGCGTCCAACGTCGACATGCGTTGGGCGTCGACCAACGAGAAGGGCACCTTCATCGTGACCCTGACCCACGACAAACACCACGTCGACTACGTCTTCTTCTCATCGACAGGCACCCTGGCCTACACCCCCATGTGCGCCAGCAGCTGGGACTTCTACCCCGGCACACGCGTCGAGAAGCTCGGCGTGCCTCTCACCGACAACGTCATCGTGCGGGCGCCGTCGTGCCTGCCATTCCCGATGAACAAGGGGCCGTACCAGTATATGATGGACAACTGGGGGGTGCACGTGCTGCCCCACTCGAAGCTGATTGATGATGTGACGGGCTGAGGATGGGTGACAGTGAGTGGAGTGGCGGAGAGAGAGGGGGGTGAGTAGGGAGGGTCGGGTGCTGCCGTGCCGTGTCGTGTGTTGCGTGTCATCGAGGCGGTGTGTCCATCCCATCTGCGACCGATGGTTTGGATGGCTTGTTTTGCTCAGTAGGTCATCAGCTTGTTGGTTGCGTGTGTGTCCGTGTGGGAGAGAGCCTGAGTGAGTGAGTGCATGTGTGAGTGCATGTGTGTCGGTGAGGGATGTGTTTCTAGTGGATGGAGAGATGCTTTATGGGTGAGGTGAGTATCTGCATTGCAACAAGGTGTGTGCGCGAGGTTTTGTAGTGGCTGGTCCGATCGACTGCACTGACTGGACGAACCAATGAACACACATACAATGAATCTGTGTATGTGTCTGTATGTGTCTGCCTCGTTGGTGTTTTTGACAGACAGATAGCTTGGAGGAGACAGCAGAAGAAGAGAGCGATGCTTTCACCTCACTGAGTGCACTGCACTGACTTCATGACATGAGAGATCCACGCTGTGTACGTGTTTGTTTATAGTAGGGGCTGGCTGGGAGAAAGGACAGCTGGCTGGCTGGCTGGCTGTCTGTCCGGCTCCATGGACTGTCCGTGTCTCACCATACCGTCTCTGCGCGTGTGTCTATTCTCTCTCCCATTTGCCGTGTGAGGTTTTCTAGTCGGCCGATGACTGACTGACTGACTTCCCCTTTTTCCACATCTAGCTGTCTCCCATGGACGGACGAACATGTGTGCGGAGATTTTTCGTGTCTTTATGCAGATCGGGGTGAGGGGACTGACGAGGAAGAGAGACCTTCACAGTAAGGACGGGCTGCGTGTCCCCCGCTTTGACTCATTCGCAACAACGCGTCCATCCATCAATCAGACACACGCATGGTGAACGAATGACGTCCATTCAAGCTCAGCACACAAATTGCTGATGTCATGTACCGATTAGTTCTCTGGCAATCGATCGTTGGGCTCGCTCACATGCCCATGACGAGAACCCCAGGCGCGGAGACGGGCACGGGGATCAGCATCTCGTGCTGCTGCTGCTGGCCATGGGAGGCGGTCTGGTTCAGGTGGCAGAACTCGAGGATGGCGTCCTCGATTTGGTTGCAGCACAGAGCGTCCACACCGTGGGCAGCCTGCTCCTCGAACGTCTCAAGGGAGTCCTCAGCGTGGCCGCCGTACCACGCCAACACCTTACGTAACACACAAACAGGACAGGAGAGACGGGAGAAGATTCCCCCTCTGTGTCTCCCTCTCCCCCTCCCCCTCCCAGCACCTTCTTGTTGGCCTTGTGGAGGGCGACGGTGCGGTCCCAGCTCTCAAATTGGGCCTTGTAGGTGACGTGGGCCCAGTTGGCTGAGAAGTGGTGCAGGATGGCCACCATCCGGTCGCTGCTGGGGAGGTGGGCCTTGGCGGGGCCGCGGTTGAACAGCACGCCGATCTCAATGCCCATGCCGTTCTTGGCGTTGGCCAGCAGGTCCGCGGGCACGAACCCGTTGGGGCACTGCTCCACTTCGGCCTGGGTCAGCTCTAACAGAGAGAAACACACACAGAGAGAAACACATACAGCCCAACGAGACACACCGCTGCTAGTGTCTGTCTTTGTCTGCAATAAGTACTGCATTCATTGTCGTCCCTACCAGTTTTGGATTTCCATTTCTGGTCGTTGCAGAGCGTTTGTGCGTTGTCGGGCGGCAGCCATGAGAAGGACGAGATCTTTCGGACGCACTCGCGGCCTCCGTATTTCTCGGCGAGTTTGAGCACCTCTGTGGTCGCCTGTGGCTTGCTGCCCTTGATCTCGACGTTGAATGCCAGGCGGAGGGGGCACTCTGGTCTGCAGAAGGTGTGGAAGACGTCCTCGAGCAGAGGGACCTTGAGCTTCTCGCCCTTGTAAGTGGCCACGGTGGTGTCCTTCTCGTAGGCCTCGCTGAAGGTCTGCTTCTCGGTGGCAGAGGCCTTGGCGTAGTCGGCCACGGGGAGCTCGACGGCCTTGTCGCAGTACTGGGGCAGCTTGCGCACACTCTCGACCCACGGCACGCGGAGATACAGGTGACCCGCCTTGTCCATCTCGTCGTACGTCGACTCCTCGACCTTAACCGTCCGCGGCGCCACGACCGTCTCGCTCAGCACACTGCATGGGAACACAGCGAGACACATTCAGGGAATGATGGCTGTCCTTAAGAATTCTGCAGTGCTCAGAGCTCACCCGCCGTCGTAGGACTCGCCCCCATGAAAGACCAGCAACCTGTTGTCCTTGGTCAGCCACACATCCAGCTCGACCTCGTCAATGCCCAGCATCGCTGCCTCGACAAAGGCGGCCATACTCTTCTCGGGCACACCCGCCTTGCTGGGGCATCCGGGGACAGAACAACCAGACCCGCGATGACCTGCAATGCAGAGCAAAGCCCAGCCCCAACAGCAGAAAATACTCTCTGGTTTTCAGAGGGCGGTGGAGTGACGGTGCACCTGTCACCGCTGCAGGCATGGCACAGGGGCCTGCCGCAGGGTGTGATGCCTCCCTCAGCTGCAGACGGCTCAAACCCCTCCGATTGGACTTGAGTATTTCCCCATCCACACAAGGGCCAGCAGAGAGCTCGAGGAGAACAACGAGGAGCATAGGTACGGCCGACATGGCTGCGCGAAAGGGCGAACGACTATATGACGGTCGAACTGTGTGTGAAGCAGGCATTGTCAGCTCATCCCGTAATGGCGCTGCGAGCCTGG